TCTAAATCTGTAAGAGATTGTAACTTCTCATAATTGAACAAAAACCCAAACATATTTTCATATACTTTGTATTGCTCAAACCTTCGTGTCAATGAGCCAATAGATTGATCAACTATGTAGACAAAGTATTCCACTCTGAACAGCTCTTCTGGTGTTGATGTGGATGATACAGAAGATTCACCAACACTCTCCTCAAATTGTTTTTTTCTGCGAATTACACGCTTCTGAGGAAACACTGGTTCAACTTCCAATTCACTGGCTATTTCTTTAGCCACATGCATAGCACTAGAAAAACCAGTTTCTCTATACTTCTCAAAAAAAGAAATTAGCCCTTTGACTTCAACAATAGCAACATCAAGAAGCATATCTTTTGCTTGTAGATTTTTGTTCACCAAATTAACAGCATATAATATTTCATACCAAATAACTGTAGCAAGCATAAATTCAAAATTACAAAGATCATTTGTAGCTAAGGATCTAGCTTCACTTTGTATTTTAGAATCATTGTCTGTCTCGGCCAATTCTAGCAATGCTTCTCGAATGTCACTTATTTGAAATCTTATTGCTTTGACACTTTCCACACGACTTTCCCACCGAGTGGTTGATAAGGATTTTAGAGTCAATCCTTGGACATTGTTTTTTAAAATTTGCCATCTTTTTGTAGAATTAGCAAAGAGTGTGTAGATTCGTTGCACTACTCCAAAAAAATCTCTTGCTTTTCGAGAACAATTAGCAATGTCACACAAGGTCAAATTAAGGCTATGACTACCGCAAGGAGTATAGAATGCCCTAGGATTTACATCCAAGAGTCTTTTTTGCACACCTTGATGCGTACCTCTCATGTTTGATCCATTATCATGTCCTTGTCCTCTAACATTATCAATATCAAGATCAAGAGACTTTAACACACTTTGCAACACTTCAAAAAGGCCAAGTCCTGTCGTGTCATTCACAATCAAGAATTCCAAGAAAAATTCTTCTATTTTAATCGGATAAGAGGAGATATCAACACATCTTAATATCAAAGTCATTTGTTCTTGGTGACTCGAATCAGGAGTACAATCAAGTATGACAGAAAAATATTTAGATTCTTTGATTGTTTTAATGATCTTAGATTTTACTCCTGAAGCAAGCATCTCTATCAATTCATTTTGAATCTTATGACTAAGAGAATGATGATGAGTATCCTTATTGTCGACGCGACGAATAAGCTCTTGAATAACAGGATCAAATTCACTCAGCATCTCAATTAATCCTAAAAAATTCCCATTATGATTCTGATGGAGCCGCTCATTCGTTCCACGAAAGACCAAATTATGCTTAGCAAGATATTTCACAGTTGCAATCACCCTAAACAACAATTGCCTCCAAAACTCTTTTTCTTTCAAAAGTTGATCATGAGCTACTTTATCAATTGTCTCATTTTTTTGTAATCGAAGCCTCAACTCTACCCAACTCCTCATGTTACCCATATGCTCCACACATGTTTCATGTTCTCTCAGTCTAGCACTATGATGTCCCCAATCATCAAAACCCGTGTTAGCTAAAGAACCTTTGCCTACACCTTTTCTAAAAATCTTACAACAGAAGCAAAATACCCTATCAAGCTCCTTTGAATAAACAAGCCAGTCTCTATCACATTTCTCTCTATTAGGCAAACTTCTAGTGTAAAAAGCTGATGAGAATCTTCTAGAGAATTTATCTTTAGGCCCTTCCACAAAATTTAACTCTTTTAGGACCATTCTCTACCAAAGTGTCTGTCAACTTTGAATCTAGAGCATCCCAGTTTCTTGGATCATATATGTCAAATAAAGCAGAATTATTTGGCCTATCATCTAAAACATCAATTCTGTGGTCCTCTTTATCAGAATTCTCAGCCATTTCGTTAACACATTGATCAGGTTTTTCAACATTATTTTCAACATTCACTTCTTGTTGTTCACCCTCTTTAACATCTCTAACTTCTTTAATAATAAACTTATCAAGAGCTCCTTTTTGAGATTGGGTTAACTCGTCAAGTCTTCTTTTCCTTTGACGTTTTTCATGACCGGATTGGTATTTATATGGAAACATAATTATTACCAATTATTGAAATTCTCCTATAATCTTGTACATGTTTATAAATTTTAAATTAATATTAAGTTTAAAATTAGGGTGAAAGCATGATTTACTTTAAATGCAAAAAATCAACAAATAACAACAACACAACAATTCAACAAACATTAAATCTGAAAATAAACAAATTACAAGATTTCAACAAACAATTCATCGATTCAAATATTCAATAAATTGAAAGTTCACAAGAATTAGCAAATTAGCAACTAAATGAATAAAAGAATTAGCAAATTAGTAACTGACCGGAAGGACGACGTCTGAGGGAGGCCGGAGGGCGGTGGAGGCGGTCGGCTGAAGACTCGGTTGAAGTCGAGTCGTGGTCCTCGTGGAGACTGGAGAGCAGCCGAGCGGTGTCCCTTTGGCAGCGGCGTGCGGTTGTGGACGGCGGTCTGGCGGAGTGGGCCGAGTGGCGCGGCGTCGTGGCGGACCGGCGGTGTCCCTTTGGCCTTTGTCGTGAACACGCGAAGACAGGAAGACGGGAAGTCGGGAAGAGTCGGAAGAGCCGAAAAGAGCAGGGGAAGACGGGATCAGGGCCGATTTTGAGGCTGGGGAATTGATTTGGGCTAAAAACAAAAGTTTCTGGCTGGGGTAATACTAATTTTTTTTTGGGCCCTCCAAAATACCGGGCCCTGTGCGATTAGGCTGGGCAGACAGGCCCAGGGCCGGCCCTGCCTGGTGACCGGTAGGGTTGGCATCCGGGGGTGCTGCAACAAAAGTTACCCCAAGGTGACTGCTATATTATGTTACTGTCATAATGTCTTTATATTTAATTTAGACTATGAATTTATTAATATAAAGCTATTACTGGAAGGTTTGATTTGAATTTGTCTAAAAAACTTTCCTAGCATGTCTTGGTTTTGAAGTGTACTGGCTTCATTTTCTTATAAGACCATGAGCCCCATGATTATATTTTCATGGAAGCGCATTGTAATTGTAGGTGAACGATAGAAGACATGGCATGGAGATGATGATAAACCGAGAAGATCAACGAGATGGATTGTGTGTTAAAATGCATAAATAGAAGAAGAATGTGAAGAAACAGTGTCAAATAGTATATATAATACTGTAAAAATAAGAAGAAACAATAAGAAGCAACTTCAAATAATATTGTACATGTACTCAATTGAAACAAGTCTAATAATTGTGAAAATTATTAGAAAGTCAGAACATATAAAATTCAGGCTGAGTATAATTGTCTAAATTCTGAAACAAGTATAACATGTCTATTTTTGAAAGAAAAAATTTGAGTAGTCTACTTTTGAAAAATAAATTGGAGAGTAATAAAAGTGATATTTCTTTCACTTTAAGTCTATTCCTGATAATTTCCCTTAGCAATTCACGTTGCTCTTTCAAGGGTGACCGTCTTCAAGTCTGATCATAGGGTTTACAGTCGTAGTTGTTGGATTTTAGTTAGTGTCAGTTTTGTTTTTCCTTTGATTGATGTAATGATCTTGACTATCAACAAAAAAAACTATAGAGATTTTAATGTAATTTTCTAAGTATGTAAATTTTAATTATTAAAATGGCCTTATTTTATGAATATTACTAAATTAGATGTGACTCATTCATGATCTTTAGACAAAAATGTGACTCATTTTAAATTATCCCAAAAATATGACTTACCATGTTATTTATATCCTTATTTAATATTTCATTTATTATTAGGACATTCTTTTTTTATAATTAGTAATTAATTGTTATCTTCCAACCACCACCACCCAATGACCGCCACCACCATCGCCGGCACAGCCGCCGCCAACCAGCACGGTGACATCGTCCGCCAGTGACTTTCTTACTCAACCCTCTTCAGTGACTACGTCTCAGTTTAGTGACTTTGCCACACTCCCTTCTCTAGTGACTACGTTTCATAGGGTCGTCACTGACTCCATTGTAGTGACCTATCTCCAACGCATCCTCGTCAAGTGAAATCCACCTGCACCGCCTCACCATTCCCTGCCCCCTTCTCTAGCCCCCAGTGACTAACACCCTACTCCCGTCCCATAGATTTGCCCCGCCTGGTATAAAGTTCGGTGTCTTTGACTAGCGGTGCCACTGCCTCGATGCCGACCATCCCATCTGGGAACCCTAGCCACCGCCCACCCCTTGCTGCAACCCCTACCTTTCCCTACCATTTCCTCTGAGAAGATCCCCGTCCCCCACCCTCGTCCATGGCCCAACCTTGACTACCTTGGTCGTCTGCCACAACTCAGTGACCCGCACCACCATCTCGGAACACCAGCCCATAAAAAACCCTACATCGTCGGACGCCAATCGTCGATAGAAAATGGAAGAAGAAAAGTGACGGCAATAGTGCTGGATTAATGAGACGGCAGCGGACGTCGGGTCAGAGATGAAATCATGGCTTCCGATGAGTGAGATATCGATGTAGCAGTGGTGGCCGTCGTGTGAGAGATGAAGCAACGACTACCGGTGGGTAGAAGTTGAGGAGCGGCGCCCGATGGATGAAAGTTGAGGCGGCGGAGGAACAAAGTGAAAGCTGCAGAGCCGATTGCCGATCTTGGATTCTTGGAGATGGGTTTAGATGTTTGGGGGATATTAGGTTATTATTATTGGAGATGGGTTTAGCCGTTCAGGGTATATTAGGAGTAATTGAGAGCATTTATTGAAAATTAGTCACTTCTTTGGAAAATGTAAAAGATGTCATATTTTTGGAAATGAAAACACTACTAGTAATATAAGAAATTGCCATTAATGGGAGTTAAACATATGAAATGTTCAAGAATAGGAGCTGTTAAGTTTATTTCCCTAAATAGGAGTTCTTGTCTGGCGCCGGTACAACTATTTTTCTTTTTTCCTTAAATGCCCTCACTTTATATTTGATCCTATTTTTTTCGTTCCGTTGCATCTCATCCTTCATTTAATCTCTTTCTTCTCACAACTTTTCTCCTCACCCATCACATGTCTAATCTCTCCCACCTTCTCCTTTCTCTTCCATCTTTATCTTTTTTCTTCATCCGTCACTCACATCTTCAAGATGTCTTCCACATCTTTTTCTCCAGTTTTTCCCTTCTTCCTTCTTAAATATTAATTATTTGTTTTCTTTCCTCTTCAACTTAGTCAATTTCACCATTCCTCTTCTTCTTCAGATTTAAAGAATCCACCGTTCCTGGTAAATTTCAGGTTTGAACGGAAAATTAAACTCCATCTCCCGTCAAATCTACTCAAAGGTATGTATTTTCTTCTCAACCTTCTCTTTCTCTCCCTTCTTGTTCTCCTTCAACCTCTCATTTTGATTTTTTAATTTTATCTTATTTTGAGGTTCTAAATTTGACAAATATTATTTCAGATCTGACTTTTTATTATTAAAATAGAAACATCCGGTGATTGAATAAAACTGAATTTGATTTGTATTTATTAATTTTGATTTGTTTATTTTAAAATTTTCAATTTAAGGATTTTGGATTTGAAAATTCTATAACTAATGTTTATTTTTCGAAAACTTTTTTTGAAAGCAATCTCATTTTTATGATATTAAATATATTAAGATAGCAAAATTATTCATTTAAAAAAGATGGCAAACTTATTTTACAAATGCCATGATTTCAAAATGTTTGGCAAAAATGTCATTTTGCATAAAAAAAAAGATGGCAAAATTATTTGTAAAACATGGCATTATTTGCCTAACATATTCATGTAATTGCCATCTTTACGAAATTAATGTCAACTTTATAAATGTAAAATGACATTATTTGCCAAACATATTGAAAAACACTTCATAAATGTAAAATGACATTATTTGCCAAACATGTTGAAAAACATGACATTTTTAAAATAATTTTGCCATTTTTGAAAAATAAACATTATTATATATTTTTCAGATCCAAATTCATTAAATTAACTCAATGTAAAAAATAAAATAAAAAGTTAAAATAACAAATTAAAGGTGAAAGAAAAATTGAAAGAGAATTAAAAGAGAAGCAAAAAAAGTACATTAAATAACATTTCAATATTTTAATGAAGATTATGATTTAATCTATCTAGCAGGCAACTAACTTGCCTAATATGGAAGTAGACACATTAAAAGAATTAGCGGTGGTGGTGGAGGAGATGGCGGCCGTCCAAGCAGAGGGCTCTCCGGAGGGCTCACCGGAGGGCGGCGGCAACGGCGCTGGAAAATACGGAAGTGGAAAATACGGCGGCGGCAACACCAAGTCTGGTGTGGTAGTATGTAGATCAGATCTGTGTAAAACTCTATTTTTGTATTTTGTTTTATGCTCCGTATTAACTAATGAATAGCTAATAAATAATCCAGCTTTAATTGCAAAAAAAATAATCCAGCTTTCATTAAAAAAACGGAAATCTTCAACTTCTTTTAATTAAGGGGTATTATGGTCACTTGCATAAAAATTCCGTGTCAAACATGGTTGACAAAGTAGGACTCCTATTTTAGCATAAGTATCTATGTTCTACTCCCATATTGGGAATTTTCTCTAGTAATATTGGTGTCATTTTATCTATTAAAAAATTGAGTTAAAACACTTATTAATGAGTTAGTCATTAATAAGTTAGTCATTTTTTGTATATTAATTAATGACCTGAGCAATTGGGCTTTGAAGAACCCAAAAGGCAACGAGAGACTAAACTTAGGAACGAGGAATGGCGCAGGATGCGAAGCGACCTTACGATACGTAGAGTCGTAGAGACCTTAATTTTTTTTCTTTAGCTGCTCGATCACATTTGATTCCTCTCCTCCTCCACTGCATCCTAATCAGTACCAAATCCGTATTTGCAAAGGTAAATCCTTTCTTCTTTTCTCATTCTATTTCATAATATCACCATATCCATCGATGACCTCCTCCAGATAGCGTGGTACGGGTTTAGTAAAATATTACTCCGTGCTATCTACGAAGTAGTTGGTTTTATACTACGAGTTTTATACTCTCCCGTCTCATAAAATTCTTCACACTAACTTTTTTGGGGACGTTTCGAAAAAAATTCTCATTACTCTTTTTGGAAAAAAATTTATTGGACAGAGACATCAGTAGTTTTTAGTGTGAATTGTGTGATTTTTGCAAGTTGATTATTGTATTGTATGAAGTTTAGCTATTTTTCTTAGCTTTCTTTTTGCCATTAATTTAATGGTGGACAGCAGGAACGCGGAAAATCTCAAGCGACGAATTGAAGATCCAAACAATCAATATACTCCCTCCGTCTCATAATTAATTTCGGTTTTGACTGGGCACGGGGATTAAGATAGTGGAATTTGTGTAGTGGAGAGTTGTGCAGAGGAGAGAGAAATGTGTAAGAATGATTGTGAACCACATATTCTTTATCAAAAAAAGAAAGAGGAAATAAATTTGGGACAGACCGAAAAGGAAAGAATGAAGATAATTTCGGGACGGAGGGAGTAATATAAATATGATGTCAAAATTCACCTGGAGGATTGAAGATTTCTCGAAAATTAAACATAAAAAGATTTACTCGGTGATATTTGTCGTGAATGAGTACAAATGGTATGCCATCAAGTTGTATATTTACGAAAAATTATAATTGGCAAATTATGTGCATATAGATAGTATTAGTTTTCTTTTTACATCTATTTGCAGGAGGTTGTGTCTTTTTCCAAAAGGAAGCCAAACAGATCATTTGTCTCTGTTCCTCCGTGCGGCTGATACATCTAGCTTACCCAATGGGTGGAATATAACACCTAAATTCAGTCTAGCTCTTATTAACCAGATAGACCCTACCAAAACTATCAAGAAAGGTATTTCCCCATAAGTCACAAGAATGTGAAATTGTCACTTTTTTATGTATTGGTTTAGTACTCTTTATTTCTAAATCATAGGCAGTAGGAAACCGACTAATTTCCTCATAAGTCACAATACTTTGTGACTTTATCTCCCTCATTGGGTATAAATTTTTGAATATTGAAAGTAAAATGATTTAGATTTGTCTAGAAAGAAACATGAGTGGTATTTTATATTTAAATAAAATTAACATTGATTTGCTCGGGATGAAGAAAGAGCTAATCACAAGCTCAAGAGCTTGTATGTATGAGTTTCTTTGAGTGCGTATACAGTGCATCCGGGTGTACGTACACCCGGTCCAAGTAAGAAAGACAACCCAATCATTAATACAAGCCAAAAAAAATTCAGTGGCATTTTTGTAATTTAAGTGAAAAAACGGATTCCACTAAATGAGCGATAGTGTACTTTTAGTGAGCGTACTACCTATTTTATTGAGCATTCAGAGGCTAACAATGATTATCACGGTTTCTGCTGCATATCTTCTAATTCAATTTCTTTTCCTTATTTTTTCTTTTATAAAAACTAATTGAATTATATCTATAATACACTCTATGAATTTTCATATGTGAATTTAATGTAATATGATACTTTTAAAATATGCATTGATATAACATTTTAAAATGAGCATAACACCAATACCAAATGAGCACGCGTAACTTATAAAATATTCATCGATGTGAAAATTCGTAAGGTTGCTAGGCTAACATAATGACATTTTGATTGAGAATCAAACATCTTCTATTGAGATGAAAATCACGGTTTCTATGAAATGAACATTAATGAACTTTTAATGAGCATTATACCTATTCTGTTGAGTGATAAAAGTCTAATATTGAGAATTATGATCTCTGCTTCATAAATTCTAATTCACTTTCTTTTTGTTATTTTTTCTTTTATAAAAACTTATTAAATTTTATTTATAACCAGCTGCTATGTACTTTAATATGTGAATCTAATGTAATATGATACTTTTAAAATATGTGTTGATATCACATTTTACAAATGAGCATAAATGAGTATCAGTTGAGCATACGTAACTTACAAAATGAGCATTGATATGAAAATCATAAGTTTTTTTGTTGAGCATCAAGACATTTTCATTGAACATCAAACATCCTCTATTGAGTAGTAGAAATATGCAATTGAGTATCATGGTCTTGCTCTAGTATGTATAATGAATTTCTACATAAATCTTATGTAATCTGATACTTTTGAAATATGCATTGATATAACATTTACAAATGATTATAAAACCAGTACCAAATGAGTATACAGAACTTACCAAATGAGCAATGTTATGAAAATCATAATCTTTGTTAGCTGAGCATCAACACATTTTCACTAAACATCAAACATCTTCTATTGAATATCAGAAGCATGCAATTGAGTACCATGTACTTTGCTCCCATCTGGATCTAATATGATACTTTTGAAATATACATTAATATGACATTTTAAAATGAGCATAAACCAGTATTAGATGAACATACGTAACTTACGAAATGAACATTGAAAAATTCAAAAGCTTGTTTGAATTCTCTTATTCTCTAATGTGTCTAAACGTTCATTTGTGCGCATATATTGTAATAACAAATATAGTAATGACAAATATAGTGATTTACGTTAAAATAAATTATAGTCTTTTGTTCTGGAATTATAAATATAATCGGGTTCTTTTTATAATATTTATTCATGCATATTTATTTTACATTATACTCATTTCAATATAACATAAAACTCATGTTATCAATTGGCACATACTGCCTCCGTCTCAATTTGATTTTCAAAATTTTCTTTTTTGGTTGTCCCAAAATGTTTTTCCACTTTCTATTTTAGGTATGTAAATAAGAATAGAGTGACAAATTTACCCTTACTTTTACTTTTTCTCAATTAACTTAAAGGCATCTACTTTTAGAAAGATGGACAAAAGTGTAAAAGGCAAGCATCATTTATTGTCATTTCTTAATCCTTGTGCCGGTCAAAGTTTGTAATTCAACTCGGGACGGAGGGAGTAATATTTAATAATTAATAAATATTCATCTTAAATTAAAAATAGAAAAATAACATTAATATCTTAAATATTCATCATAAATTAAAATTAATAGAAAAAGTAGTTAAGAAAAAAACGAAAAAGAATTAAAAAAAAGAACTACGTCGAAAGCAAAAAAAAAGGTGCTCAAGAAAAAGAACTACGGAAGAAAGGCACTAAGTAAAAAGGGCCTGCTCATCATGCCTACAGGACCACATCTCCATAAAAGTTGTCCACCATGGCAGCAAGGCCCGTAGTCCACATGGAAAGAATGTAGACGGAAGCAGAATTACAAAAATACCTGGATGTACCGTACACATTAACAAAAATCCGGGTGTACGGTATAATTTACCAGTTTCTTTATTCTTAACTAATCACACATTAAAAACATAGACATGACATGTGGTAGTAACATGATCATATTGTTTTGAACAATCATCTCGAGTCACTGATCTGTATTTAGGACTATTCTACTATAACTTACACATGTGATTCACTACAAGCGTTCATGGACTCTATACCCTTCCCCAATGAAGTCCCCTTTCTATCTTTTGTGATAGAGGTATTTTCCCTTCACTTTTTGGGCATTATAATACAGATAGGGAAGGTAAATATGAAGCTCAAAGCACTAGTAGGGGTTCCTCTTCATTTATCTCGCTGAGTAAGTTTCACAATAAAAGTGAAGGGTATCTTGTTGACGACATTTGCCTGATTGAGTGTGAAATGTCTATTATGAGCGACGCTTCTCCAACTGCCAAGGATAAAGTAAGTTCTTTATCACCAATATATATGCTTGATTGAAACTGAACTGAAGGTATATTTTTTATGATATTTTCTAAAACATCCTATCATGGATCATTCGAAAAAAGTTTCTTTGTGTTTTAGTACACACTACAGGTGGGACTTTTGCGGCATTGGGGTAATGTTGTTGTTGTTTGTCTTAAACATCATAATTCTTAATGATACATTTTTCTCCTGCATACATGGGATCAGGTTGTAGATTCTTCAGTCGCGCTTGATCTTGTTCTTGATCTTGATCATGATGAATATGTTTATGTTGAGGCTCAATCGTTTCTAGAGTCACTACCCAAGAGACCTTCCAGCTGCTGGGCTCTAACATACGAAATGGATTTCCTTAAAGGACCTTTACATTCTGCAAAAGAAATCCTTGACACACTGATATCACACCCTTTGGATGTTTTAGCTGATCCCAAATATGAAACTGCCATAATCGAGTCTCTGTCTTCTCTAACCGCCCACCTTTATTTGTTCAGCGATGAACGGGGCAAAGAAATTATGAACTTGAAAGCTACTTTCCCTGAGATGATTCAGAAATGGAGAGGTAAAGGCAAGGTAAGAAGTGAGCATCCCTGGTCTAGTTTTGAAAAGACCCAAAATTTGCTTGAAGACTTGGTGAAAAGGGGGGAAGGAATAAAGGCCAAGCTGGAGAAGCTATACAAGAAAGAAAGGGAATTTGAAGCTCAGCTCGAGGCTATTGAGAATTGCAGTCTATCTCCTAAGGAGGAAAGGCAAGAATTATTGAACCAGATAAATATAGTGTATTCTCTTGCGGAGAAACAGGCTAGGAACTCTGAAGCAGAAGAGGTTGACCCGGCTATCAAAAAGCTAGAGGTGACCTTGAAGTCAAAGTGGGCTTCAACCAGACTTCTCTTCTGTTGAGAATCATGGCAGCCCAAGGTTGTGTCTAGATGGAGAAATACCTTTGCCAGCATTTTGTCTTTTAGCTGCTGTTAAGGGTTCGTTTGAGCGTACTTGTGAGTTTCAACATAATCAGTGAGAGTTCGAATCATGTTAAGACTTATTCACAATTTTTGTAATTGTTTGGGTTTTAACTTCTAAATAAGCATAATGGTTGTTAATTAAATGAACGTAATCAGTGAGAGTTCGAATCATGTTGAAACTTATTCTGGACTTTAGGTACTCAATAAACAGAGTTTGAAGAATAACAAGCTTGTTTGAGTTAAAGCTTAGGGCTAGGGCTGTTAACAAGCCGAGCCGAGCCCAAACACCCAAAGCTCGAGTTCGGTTCGATAAGGAATTAGTGGTGTTCGGGTTCGAGCTCGAAGCTTGGCGAGCTTTACAAATGAGACTCATGTTCGGCTCGATAGGCGTTCAATGTTCAATCCGAGCGCTTGATAAGCTCGATAAATATGCTCAAATTTAAAATTTTAGGTGATGCTCATTAATAGGCTTGTGCTCGAATGGTTCGACAAGTATTCGATTCTTTAATAATCATATTTAAATTCATAAAATAATACTAATTATATTTAATTTTTTAATTATATTTATAATTTTAGGGTGTTCGATAGGCTCAAGTTCGAACTCAGCCGAATACTACTATGTTCGAGCTCAGCTCGATTACTTTTTCGAACTTAAAATTCAGCTCGGGTTCATGTTAGAAAGCTCATTAAACTCGGCTAGTTAGGTTCGAAACCGAGCTCGAACTCGAACAGTTCGATAAAAGCTCGGTTCGTTAAAACCGAGCTCGACCTTGCTTGACCAACTTTACCGAAACTTGCTTTATATGAAAAGAAAAGTGTGGTTAGAAACATTTATGAGTTTTTCATCTTACTTGGATTTAAAAAGTGTTACGTCAAAGAAAATTCCCTAAAAAAAAGTTAAAACTCATAAATGTTTCTAACCACACTTTTATTTTCTTTAGGGAATTTTGTTCACAATTAAATCATGTTTGTATGAAGAAATGCAAAAGAAAAACTGTTAAATTGTTAACATCTAATGTCTGCAATTCTGCATATAAATATTGGTTTGCAATAAATATTGGCCGGCATTTTGGACCGAAAAATCGAAAATCGAACCGAAAAAACCCGAACCTTTTTGAAAACAAAAATAAACCGAATCGATATAATTTTGGACCTGAAAATTAGGACCCGAAAAAACGGTTCGAAGCCGGTTTATAGTGCCAAAATATCGGTTTGAACCGAACTGAACCGACATTTTATTAATAACAATTATAATAACTTTCATAGTTAATGACTTTATTAAATGTATATAAAATGAAATGCAGTCCTAAAGAAACAAACAGCTCTGCAGCAAGATGGTTGCCAAGTGAGTTGTTGACACGGACGTCCCGTGTTTGAATTCCGCGGACGTTGTTTTTTATACAATGCTTCAGTTTTTCATTTTGTTTCCACAACTCTTTGTTCCACACCGAAGAAATGAGAGAGCTTCTTCCTCAAAAGCAACTATATATTGGATGTTTTCTCAACCATCTAACCGTGCAAGACCTGACATAGTCCATGAGATTGTTAGGCAAACTGAAACTGGGCTTGCGTTTTGGAAAACTTGGGCCTAGTGTATTGAAAAGTTCATCTTATTTTGTTTATTTATTGAAAGTTGGTTTTTGTTTCGGGTTTTGGAAAACCGACCCGGAATATCGGTTTCCGATAATTTGGTACCTATTTCTGAACGGTTCGATTTCGGTTATGGTTATTTGGATAATCGAAATATCGGTTCGGCTTCGAGTTAACCTTAATCGGTTCGGTACCCGAACCGAACCCAGCCCTAGTTTGCAATTTGATTGCTTACTCTTCGGCTTTCTTTAAAGCTAATTGGCATTTGATTGGTGATGACATGGTTAGTGCGTCGAAGAATTCTTTGCATCGAGAGGAAATGGTTAAACAAATTAATCATATCGTGATTGCTCTTATTCCAAAGACAAACCATGCACCAAAGGTCTCGGATTATCAACCTATTGCATACACCAACGTAATATATAAAGTTATTACCAAGATTTTTTGGCAACTAAAATAGCACCTTGCCTTCCGTCTTTGGTTGATCCAGCTCAAGGAGCTTTCATTGATGGGCGCCTTATATTCGACAATATCTTTCTTGCACAAGAACTTGTGAGAGGTTATACAAGGAAACACATCTCTCCAAGATGCATGATTAAAGTGGACCTTCATAAAGCGTATGATACCATATCTTGAGAGTTTTTGGCATGCATTCTTCGAAGCTTGAATTTACATCCTAGATTTATTGGATGGATTATGGAATGTGTGCCTAAATGTATCATTTTCCATTTACCCTAAGTGGCTCACTCTATGGATGGTTTAAAGGCAAGAGATGTATTCGACAAGGAGATCCTATGTCCCCTCTCTTATTCATCTTATGTCTTGAATATTTTTCTAGATTGCTCAAGATGAAAGCTAAAGGGTCTGGATTTAATTATTAATTACCCTCTTTGTTCTTCTCATGGTATTATATACAGGGCCGGTCCCGAGAAAACGGAGGCCCTGTGCAACAATAAAATTTGGGCCTTTTTTCAAGTTTAAACGCAAGCAAATTGTCTTACAATACAAGTTACTAATAAACGTAATAATTAAAATGAAAAAAATCATTAATAACTTACAGCTTATTTAAAAAGAGACATTCTTCGAGCATATTTAGATGCGAAGTCATCTACCAAACTTGCAATGTCAATCCTGTACATGTTTTTAAATTTTAAATTAATATTAAGTTTAAAATTAGGGCGAAAGCATGAATGACTATACTAGTGTATTGTAAGAACTCGAATCCAGCTCAGGTCTCGTTCAAATTTCACCCACAAAGGATGAAGAACACCACTAAAGTCACTAAGGGGAAAGGGGCTTCAGCCAGCACACCTTTTTCCGGCCAATTCGCCCTACAGTGGAGCGACAGTCTGATTTTAGGAGAAGGAGGGTTTTTTTCGGCGCACCCCAATTACATACGGGAAGAAGAATATAAATGGGCGGAACACCAAGAACAAAGATGGTAACTTACCTTACCAAGAGATACGCAGGATGCACACAAGGAAGGAGACGGAAGAATCGCGTAAGAGGAGATTGGCTTTGAGCGAACCAGAAATCAGAATAAGACATGGGCCGGGTAGGGGAATTGGGCTTAGGAAATAAAGAGGGCCAATACCAACACATTCTCCACCTTATTGGACCATAGTGGTGTAGAGCACAACGCTCTAAAATAATTTGAGACTCATCATCGCTGGATTGCCCGAATGATCACAAAGACACATTCAGCCAAAGGGGTAAGTGACGGGCACTTTGTCACGGTGCGTCAAAAAAATTTCAATACTAAACACTTATACATAGTATAGCGTAGTAGAGTTCGTATCCACAGGGAAAGGAACGATTTTCTTTCTATGAAACTAGTAATGAAAAGGGGGGTTTGGTTTTGAGTAATTTAATTCAATTAAGAAACTAAGATGAACAACCTATATGTGTTTAATTCAAAGATAAAAAGGACTTGGCATTGCTACTTTCCACTTGTTGATATATTTTAGTCGATCATTGTTATATCTATAACTTATTCCCTCTCGAATACTCAATCGGGGAGTATATCCACTTCATCGAGGGTAGTTATTAACAACGATCGTTCATTAATAACCCTTACTATTAATCAAATATAGAACAACGCCGTATACCGATTTAATAGTAGCATTTAATCTTTCTAACTCCTTGATGAAATCAATTGAGATTGATAACCTCAACACAAGCGGTTTCGGTTTAACCAACAAAATTAATCCCTCTTAAGTTTATTAACCACGACCGTGCATTAATAAACCGAAGTTACTTACTTGTGAAACCATCAACGATTAACCATCGGTTCGTTGATCGTTTCTAGTAATAATTAATATATGAAACAAAACTAGTTGATCCTTTAAGTAATGTTCAAAATATTAATATGAAATAAGAGTAGGGATTAATTAATATTCAAGGAAGAATATTATTAAAGAAGATGAATCCTACTATAATTAATATCAAGATGTTAACTAATTGTCATCTTAGCAACACTCCCCAACATTAATATAGAGGAAGAAAATATCATTCTAACTAATGTCGAGATGTTAACTAATTGTCATCTTAGCAACACTCCCCAACATTAATATTGAGATGGTATTAAGGAAAGAACTATTAATTAATATTTAAGGAAAGAAGTTAAGAAAATAACTCACAACTTTAATAATCAACAAGCTTCAAGAGCAACACCAAGAATGGAAGTTTAGCTCCTCATTTGGAGACTAAACATAGCTAGAAAAATATAAAGAAATGCTATTCTAAACTGAGCTAAAGAGTATGGAAGAAGGGATGATTTTTTGTGAAGAAAAAGTGTGCTATTTATAGGTGTTTTTCAACACCTTTGGCCGGGTACCCGACCGGGTATAGTACTTACCCGACCGGGTCCGGTCAAAATCAGATAATCCGCCACGTTCTGGTGATCTTCGCACGTCGTTTTGTCCCGGGTCACATCTGACCCGACCGGGTCAAGTAGGGGACCCGACCGGATCCAGTGACTTTCTTGGCAATTTCGTCTGTTAAATCACACCCGACCGGGTGGGGGTTTCTACCCGGTCGGGTTTCACTCCTGGGCAGTCAAATTTCTTGTTTTCTTCTCTTCAAAGTCTTCCTTTCCGACACCACAAATCCTAACTAAACTTTACAACTTACAAATAAAGACTGAAATACAATTACAACTGAAATCACATAAATGTTTACAAACTAAATAAAACGTCAAACAATTAACATAAATCAAACATAAAAACATGTAATTATGCACTACTAATTAGTGTGCATCAGTAAGATCACCAGGCAACTTAACCGCAATCAATGTTTAACGTGCGCTTGCACGACAACAACTTTTCGACAGAGAGACATTTAGTCCCCATGTCAGCAGGATTAAATTCAGACGGAATTTTAATCAACTTGATATCACCTGCACTAACAATATCACGTATAATATGAAATCTAACATCAATATGCTTAGTTCTATCATGAAAAACAGAATTTTTGCACAGTTGAATAGCAGATTGACTATCAGAAAACACACAAATGTTCTGATTAAGACTACCAATCTCCGTTAGGAGACACTTAAGCCAAATGGCTTCCTTAAATGCTTCGGTAGCG